GAGGCTAAAGACGACTGTCAGTCTCCCTCGGACTGGGGCTCCATGCAAGATCTCACCTCATGGGGTATCACTGATGATAATAAAGTTGAGGAATCAGCCCAGAACTACAAGGGAGGAGCTGGTCAATGACATGGAGAGAGCTGGGACCACAGTTTCAACGGTAACTGTCAGTAGAACACTATGCCGTCATGGTTTCAAATCATGCATTGCACGGAAGGTTCCCCTGCTCAAGTCATCACATGTCCAGCCCATCTGAAGCTTGCCAATGACCATCTGGATGATCCAGAGGAGGCATGGAAGAAAGTCATGTGGTCAGATGAGACCAAAGTAGAACTTTTTGGTCTAAACTTCACTCGTCGTGTTTGGAGAAAAAAGAAAGACGAGTTGCATCCCAAGAACACCATCCCTACTGTGAAGCATGGGGTTGGTAACATCATGCTTTGGGGTGCTTTTCTGTGAAGGGGACAGGACGACTGCACTGTATTAAGGAGAGGATGAATGGGGCCATTTATTGTGAGATTTTGAGCAACAACCTCCTTCCCTCAGTCAGAGCCTTGAAGATGGGTCGTGGCTGGTCTTCCAACATGACAACGACCCGAAGCACACAGCCAGGATAACCAAGGAGTGGCTCCGTAACAAGCATATCAAGGTTCTGGAGAGGCCTAGCCAGTCTCCAGACCTAAATCCAATTGAACATTTTTGGAGGGAGCTGAAACTCTGTGTTGCTCAACGACAGTCCCTTAATCCTGACAGATCAACGGGAAATCTGTGTGGAGGAGTGGGCCAACATCCCTTTTGCAGTGCAAACCTGGTCAAGGACTACAGGAAACGTTTGACCTCTGTAATTGCAAACAAAGGCTTCTGTAGCAAATATTAACAAGGATTTTCTCAGGTGTTCAAATACTTCTGTTCAGCTGTGCAAGACAAATAAATTCTTTAAAAATCATACAATGTGATTTCTTGAATTTTTTTTTTTAATTCTCTCAGAGTGGGAATGTACCTACAATGTGAATTTCAGACCCCTCCATGATTTCTAAGTGGGAGAACTTGCAAAATCGCAGGGTGTTCAAATACTTCTGTTCCTCACTGTATATATTACATACACACACACACACACACACACACATTTTTTTGTAGCTCTATGTCCTATCTTATATTGATATGATCCCACTGCAAAGTATTTACATCGCTTGTATACACGTTTTACTAGTTTAGCGCATGTTACGCTTATACATAAATCTCCTGGAAGGAACATCTCTACACATTAACCACTGAAAACTGCTAGTTACAGGAACATACAATCTGAACGTTATGCCTCCCAGGATATTTTAGCTTCTTTGAACATTTTTGTTAACATTCTGTTTAGTGACACTTTGAACATTGGCCCAGTGGTCTCCGCACAATTTCTGAGGTTCCCATGTACTGGCGGTAACTTACCCAGCGGCAATTCTTGGGTGGGGTCTTTTCTTGAATAATCTTGCATTATGTGGGATTTGTAAATCCTTGTTTTTAATTATGCACAATAATGTAAATTATATTACATGTATCTTATGAGCATGATTATAAAATGCTTCTTGCACTCCACCGAGTGGTATTACATCCCTGAAAAAGAGATTGTTCTGAAAAAGCTGGAAAGGTATTGGATACCCTATGGCTGGATAAACCCTGTCAGAGTAATGTGATTGTGCGGTTTTCGTAAATAAGAAATTGGGGAATACCACTATGAATGAGCATTAATGAATATGTAAAATGTATACACCCTTCTATGAATATTATTTTTATAATGTATCCTATGTCTTGAATTGTATTGTGACAGTATTTTTAAAAATGTCCAACTTTTTTTAAACAATGAAAAATTAAGTTACAATTTAATTTTGGATTTATTTGTATGGTTGCCTTACAAAATCCCACTCTGGGAGGTACAAATTAGTATGCTATATATATTATCAGGGATGATGGCAAGTTCACCCTCAGTCACAAAGACTATTCTTATGCGGTCATAACCTTTGATACTGTACCTCGTGACATGGCAATTAAACTGGCAACTTCAGCCACAGAGGCACCAGCTAAGCAACACCAACAATTTGCCCTCTTCGAAGCTCCGTAAGCTCTGACATGACTCCGTATTACTAGCAGCTCACAAATTGAATGAGGAAAGTGACACTTCCCACCTGTTAGCTAGGTGTCTCATCACACAGCGGGGGGGGGGGGGGGCAAAAGAATGCTACATCACTTTCACTTTCAATGAAAAACAGGTCGACACTTTCAAATCTGCAAATCATGTAGCTTTACCATATTTTAGTCTAACCCAGGGGTGGGCAAACTTTTTGACTTGAGGGCCGCAATGGGTTCATATATTGGACCCGGGGGCCGGACCAAGAGTAGATGAATGATGTGTATGTGTCATCCATAGTAAGTATAGTAATATCCCCCATAGTAGTAATTCATCCCCCCATAGTAATTCATCCCCCATAGTAATTCATCCCCCATATAGTAATTCATCCCCCATATAGTAATTCATCCCCCATATAGTAATTCATCCCCCATATTAATTCATCCCCATATTAATTCAGTCCCTAAGTCCCTAAGTCCCCCCTGTGTCAATTCACTTACCTTTGTTCCGCGCGTTCCTCTCGCCGTGTTCCCGCACCGTTCCGGTGTAGCATGAAAATCTGTCTCCTATGAGGATCTGTCCCCCTCGACGTATATATCTGCGCATGTGCCAGTTTCAGGCATTAGCAGCCGATCGGCGATCTCCGGCACATGCGCAGATACGTCGAGGGGGACAGATCCTCATAGGAGACAGATTTTCATGCTACATCGGTCTTCAGGGCGGACTGTGAGAGGAGCCTAGCGGGAGGCTAGCTCCGCGGGCCGGATTAAAAGGTCCGCCGGGCCGTAGTTTGCCCATTGCTGGTCTAACCCCTGTATTACGTATCTTATTTTTTTTTTGCGGGGCGGAATTCTGTTTTGGTGATATTGTCTTGCCATCAACTCACGTCATCCTTTACGCAATCTATAGACAAAAGGTTCTAAATGAATCAGTGTTGGTAGATAAAAAACAAAACAAAAAACACATTACTGTAGATTCTGTTACAAAGCAATGTAGTTATTTAAAAAAAAAAAAAAAAAAAATATTGTATTCCCCTCCCCCAATGTTGCCCATTCTTGTAAGGTTACTTTAACATTTGCACATGAACGGTAGCAGGCCCAAAATATGCAACTAGTTAAAAACAAAAAAAACCTGTAGTTTCATTTTGATTGTACAAGCGGTACATAACAAACCCACAATGGTGAGCCTACACCACACCCAGGACTTAGAAAATCACACCACTAAGTGAGAATTAAACCTTTTTATTAGTGTATTCACATATTCGGCAAATGCAACACGCACAAAGCTTATGTCAAGTTCACAAGTTCTACCAATACACCAATCTACTGGTAAAACTAGTTCACAAATGTTAAATGCTTTTGCCAATTACGTTTTTTACGGTTTGGCTTTCTGCTTACCATTGAACAGTCTCGGAATTGCATCTATGTACTACAGCAGGCATCTTCAACTCCAGATCTTCAATGACCCACAGCAGGGCATGTTTTCAGGAACCCTTCAAATCATAGGTGGCGGGCGCAACCGGGTGAGTGGAACATTCTTGGCTGTCCCAGTAGAAGAAACTCCTCAAACATGGCCGGCGGCAGGAGGAGGGGTAACGATACGCTATACAGACGCGTAATCACTTTCCGCAACTTAGCCTAGTGATTATTAAACCTAACACTGGCCACAAAGTTTGTTCTGAAAGCCAACAAAGGTCACTAGCTGTACTTACAAAGTACAATACTAATGTAGTCAATGCAGCCCAGGGTGGAGGGAAAGACAGCGAGAGAGAGAGAGAGAGAGAGAGAGAGATAGAAAGAGAGAGAGAGAGATGAAAGGAAATCCTGCCACTCTCACGTTTATAAAAAGGACAGACAGCTACAGAATGAGTTTGTTAGTAAGATGTACACTTTAAAGTCAGAGTACCCTTGTCTACACAGTCATTGACCCCACCCGTCCCAAAAATGCAGACAACTGGAAAGATACTTTTATAGGGTGCAAAATGTAGTGTCCAAGGGTCCCACATAACATGCACTTTAAAAAAGAAAAAAAAAACAAAAAACCACCTTCAAACACTTTATGATCCTAGAATCTCGAATGATTTTGTCTTCATGAACAAAAGTTGAATTGGTTACTGTCTCAAGAGATGTAATCTTGCAAGTGCATAATTCTGTAATATATATATATATATATATATAAAAAAAAAAAAAAAAAAAAAAAAAAAAGACTTCTTTAAAACGTAGCCACCAAGAGAAGGACAAGAAATATGGCATGGCTAGTTCTATGGCTGCTAAGAAAAAGTACGGGAAGGTGAGCAAGCATGCATTGTTATTAAGTCAACTTATAAAATAGGCAAAAAAAAAAAAAAAAAGTACAAATATGCTAAGGGTAATAATAATGGCAAAAAAAAATGGTTTTGGGGTGGAGGGACTAAAATAAAAGAAGCAGACACACCCTAATCGGGATCTAAAAATGTATAACAGCAAAAAAATGTAGTAATTATACATGACGCATAAGAGGACAGCTCATGTTATTGTTTAAACCATTTGGACACTCCGATATATGCCCAATAATACATTAAATGTCCTTTAAAACATCCCTTCCCAAAGTAAGGAGTGACTTCACACTGCACTTTCCTCTATGGTATCAGAAAACGTTATTCCAACAAGGTGCTTTAAGCTGACGGGACCTCAAGTGCTGTTTCTCAGTATTTTTTTTTTTTTTTTTTTTTTTTGGATTTGTAAACAGTTCATGGGGACCACACACAAATACTATGGACAGACGAGCTGAATTAAGTCTGTTGCCAAGACTTCGCATTGAACCCACAGGTCGTACAAGGGGGTAAAAAAAAAAAAAAAAAAAGCAAAAAAAAAAAAAAAAAAAAAAAAAAAAAAAAGAAAAAGCCCCATTAGGACATGCTGGAGCAACGGACTGAAGGTGAGCCCATTTGAGTCAACACTTTGTCCAGCCATTGTAAAGGTCCGTTCAGGTGAAGCTCAATCCAACAGGGAGTGCTTGTGACTGTTTGCCGCCTGAAAGACAGGAGAGAGAGGCTTAGAAAAAGGGGGGGCATTTGAGGTCAGTGCTATAGGAGACGTGACGAGACACGATCATCTTAGACAGATCATTAGCTTTGCAAATTGTATGCATTACTAACTTCACTTGCTGGAGGCCCTGTCAGTATGCCCATTCAGGGAAGAGAGACTGTGCTCACTGCCTCTATGCGACATTGCTCCAACCCGAGAGGCCAACTACCAGACCTGAACATATTTACATCACGTTTAGGGGGGGGGTCTCTACCACATAGGCAAGCTCAAATTCAGAGCTTAAAACAGCAAGGTCTCCAACAGGGAGGTGAGCTGTCAGCAGAGAATGTCACTTTGCAGTGAATGGGAGTGACAGCCTCCCTTTAACCACTTGCCCTTTGGAAGGTTTTACCCTCTTCATGATCAGGCCATTGTTTGCTATTTAGCACTGTGCTATTTTAACTAGCAATTGCACAGTCATGCAACGCTGTACCCAAATTAAATGTATATTTTTTTTTTTTCCCACACAAATAGAGCTTTCTTAGTGATATTTGATCACCACTGTTTTTTTTTATTTTTTTACTATTAAATTAAAAAAACAAAACAACTTTGAAAAAAAAAAAAAAAAAAAAAAAAAAAAAAAACACAAAACAAAAAAAACCCCAAAAAAACCAAACCAAAACCAAACCCCCCCCCCCCCCCCCCCCCAAAAAAACACTAATTTTCAAAATTTTTCTTGTAAACTATATACAGTAACAAAAAAATCCCCATAAATGTAGGGCAAAATGTATTCAGCTACATGTCTGAAAAAAATCCCAATAAGTGTATATTTATTGGTTTGTGATCTATAAACTATGGGATATACACTCACCGGCCACTTTTATTAGGTACACCTGTTTAATTGCTTGGTAACACAAATTGATAATCAGCCAATCACATGGCAGCAACCCAATGCATTTAGGCATCTAGATGTGGTGAAGACAACTTGCTGAAGTTCAAACGGGAGCATCAGAATGGAGGGAAAAAAAAGGGATTTAAGTGACTTTGAACACGGCATGGTTGTTGGTGCCAGACTGACTGTTTTTTCTCTCCCTGCTTTTTAGTGAGAATAAACAGCCAGATCACTGTTCCCTGTACAGAGAGCTCTGTGTTTTTGTAACACGCAACTGTGTGTGTAACTGGACACAGCCGATCAGCTGACTTCACCCAAAATCATTAGTTGAAATCAGCTGACATACTCATCGGTAGGGGGTGCATGCATGTGCGCCATCGAACCCAGAAGAGCAAGCCGACATACAGGTATGTCATTGTGCCTGCACCTGCCGCATGCTCGCAGTATATTTAGCAGTCAGCAGGTGGTTTAGCATGGCTAAGTGGTTAGCACTTTTCCCTGGCAGTATTAGGGATGTCAAATCCCAACTAGTTCGTTACCTGTCTGGAGTTTGCATGTTCATCCCGTGTCCTGTTCACCCTGAATGTGAGTTAGGGACCTTACATTGTACACCCCTTGAGGGGCAGGGACTGATGAATGTTCGATATATATGTAAAGCGCTGCGTACATTTAAAGTGCTACAGTGCCTTTAAAAAGTTTTCAAACCCCTTGAAATTTTCCACATTTTGTCAAGTTACAACCAAAAACATAAATGTATTATTGGGATATGGAAAGAGTATGGCACAACTGCAAACCTACCAAGACATGGCCGTCCACCTAAACTGACAGGCCGGGCAACGGGAGCATTCAGAGAAGCAGCCAAGAGGCCCATGGTAACTCTGGAGGAGCTGCAGAGATCCACAGCTCAGGTGGGAGAATCTGTCCACAGGACCACTATTAGTCGGGCACTCCACAAATCTGGCCTTTATGGAAGAGTGACAAGAAAAAAGCCATTGTTGGAAGAAAGCCATAAGAAGTCCCATTTGCAGTTTGCGAGAAGCCATGTGGGAGACACAGCAAGCATGTGGAAGAAGGGGCTCTGGTCAGATGAGACCAACCTTTTTGGTCTAAAAGAAAAACACTACGTGTGGCGGAAAACTAACACTGCACATCACCCTGAACACACCATCCCAACCGTGAAACAATGGTGGTGGCAGCATCATGTTGTGGGGATGCATTTCTTCAGCAGGAAGAGGGAAGCTGGTCAGAGTTGATGGGAAGATGGATGGAGCCAAATACAGGGCAATCTTAGAGGAAAATCTGTTAGAGTCTGCAAAAGACTTGTCCTGCTGGAAGGTGAACCTCCGCCCCAGTGTCAACGACCCAAAACATCTATCCAGAGCTACAATGGAATGGTTTAGATCAAAGCATATTCATGTGTTAGAATGGCCAGTCACAGTCCAGACCGAAATCCAATGGAGAATCTGTGGCAAGACTTGAAAATTGCTGTTCCCAGACGCTCTCCATCCAATCTGACAGAGCTTGAGCAATTCTGCAGAAGAATGGGCAGAAATGTCCCTCTTTAGATGTGCAAAGCTGATAGAGGCATCCCCAAAAAAAAACTTGCAGCTGGAATTGCAGTGAAACAGGGTCCTACAAAGTATTGACTCCGGGGGCTGAATACAAATGCCGCCACACTTTTCAGATATTTGTAAAAGATTTTGAAAACCATTTATCATTTTCCTTCCACTTCACAATTATGTGCCACTTTGTGTTGGTCTATCACATAAAATCCCAATAAAATACATTCGTTTTTGGTTGTAACATGACAAAATGTGGGAAAATTTCAAGGGGTATGAAAACCACTGTATATAAACACCCGTAATAAATAATAAAATAAGCAACTAAACCATTGTCAATGGTAATTTTTCCTGTAATCTGACACTGCCCTAGGTCAAGATGCAATATTTTCATTAGTATGGGGTAAAATTGGCAGCTGGGGTTTTTGGTTTTGACTCCAGTATCTAAAAAGGGCTTAAACTGAACCTTTTGAGTTCAACATGTAGTCAAATTGGATGGTCATACAAAGGGAAGGTGAAGGAAATGGAGAGAGAAAAACAAAAAAAACGAAGAGAGAGACGCACACAAAAAAAAAAAAAAAAAAAGGAGAGCCATACAAGTGAAGAGTACCTGTATTCGGCACCCCAGCCTTTCACAAAGCTCATTCTGATGGTGCACATTCTGGTTAACTGGTAAACTGCTTCAAATCCCTGGTTCACTGACTGAGCAAGGAGGGCAGCAAATTCTTGGTTATTGAAGATCTTCAGGTTACAGCCTGCCAATTAAAAAAAAAAAAAAATTAAAAAGTAAGACAAAATGTTTACAAAATGAATTAACAGAAATAAGTGTATATCCACTTCTGCAGTAAAATTTGAGAAAACACAAGTTTGTTAAATGTTTCTATTCACACAGCATACCTAAAACGAAAAACACAAAAAGTTTTGTTACCTTTACCTTTTAATGATTTCTCAGGAGAGAGCTTCATGGCTGACTGCACGCATTTCAGAACAAATGTCAGAGTGACTCTGTCCTAAGGACAGGCTAAGGCAAGCCATAGATGATACAAGAAGAAAATCTGCTTGATTTCCCCATTTACACAGTCAGTGTTGATGAGGGAGGAATTCCTCCCAAGGAGCTATTGTGTTGTGCCAGCGGGGAGCCTTCTCTGCCAACTGAACACAATGATTACTGCTAGTGACTACAGCTGCCTGCAGTAATTGTACATAAAAAATCCAACAGGCTGGTTGTACTGAAGTCGATTGATGGATCGACTTCTGTACAACCATCCTGTCCATAGATGGATCAAATCTCAGCCAGTCCCTTCTGAACTGGCTGAGAGTTGACCTACTGTTGGCCTGCTTAAGTCTCTTCTCATTAAAGCGGAGCTCCACCCACAAGGGGAAGTTCCGTTTTAAGGCTCTGTCCCCCACTGCCCGTGAATAATTGGCACCTTTGGGGAGCGGGGGGGGTACCTGAATTTGATACATACCCACTCCCGCTGAGTTCGCCTAGGCCTGGACACACAGAGGAGGCTTGGGGGATTAGAAAAGAGGATCGAGACTGCTCTGTGCAACACCACTGCACAGAGCAGGTACCGTATTTTTCGCCGTATAAGACGCACTTTTTCTTCCCCAAAACTGGGGGGGAAATGTCAGTGCGTCTTATAAGGCGAATATGGAGCGGCCGGTCCGGTATTTCCACCGCGGCCGTGTCAGAATACCGGGCCGGCCGCTCAGCTCTGCAGCGGGACCTTACCTGTTCCTCTATCCAGCGGCGTGCTGTCTTCCCGGCTTCTGTAGTGTAGCAAGACAGCCGGGTGCCAAGTGCGCATGCGCAAGAAGCGGTGCTTTTTGTGAATGGTAAGGCGGTACCTGGGACACATGACAGATCCCAGAAGCCGCCGGACCAATCACAAAGCGCAAGTGCTTCTCGCTCATGCGCACTGGGCACCCGGCTGTCATGCCAAGCGCCATTACAGAAGCCGGGAAGACAGCGCGCGGCTGGATCAAGGAACAGGTAAGATCAAACAAAAACTCTGCGGAAGTAAGAGCGGGTATCTGTCAAATTCAGGTACCCGCTCCCCACCTCCCCAAAGGTCAGCAGTCATCTGTGCTGTCCGCAGTCTCTGGTCATCCCTGTGCTGTCCGCAGTCTCTGGTCATCCCTGTGCTGTCCGCAGTCTCTGGTCATCCCTGTGCTGTCCGCAGTCTCTGGTCATCCCTGTGCTGTCCGCAGTCTCTGGTCATCCCTGTGCTGTCTCTGCATCCCTGTGCTGTCCGCAGTCATCCCTGTCCGCAGCTGTCCGCAGTCTCTGGTCATCCCTGTGCTGTCCGCAGTCTCTGGTCATCCCTGTGCTGTCCGCAGTCATCCCTGTGCTGTCAGTCTCTGGTCATCCCCTGTGTCTCTGTCCGCAGTCTCTGGTCTCCCTGTGCTGTCAGGCTCCTGTCATCCCTGTGCTGTCCGCAGTCTCTGGTCATCCCTGTGCTGTCCGCAGTCTCTGGTCATCCCTGTGCTGTCCGCAGTCTCTGGTCATCTCCTGTACTATGTCTGCAGTCCATTAGTTCAGAATTTTTTTTTTCCTGTTTTCTGCCTCTAAAACCTAGGTGTGTCTTATGGTCAGGTGCGTCTTATACGGTGAAAAATACGGTAAGTATAACATGTTTATTTTTTTTTTTTCCAAAATAGCATAAGCTTTAACTATAACTGTAAGCCTGCATGTGATCATGTCATAGGTGACAGTAATCACATGATCAGGAGCCACTCATTAGCCAGGACTTAAGCGGTCAGTGACAGCCACGATTGAGAGCCTAAAAACATGCAATTGGTCAGCTGTTATCTCTTCAAAAGGACGACATTTATTATTGTACCCTCAGCTAGGAAAATCTTGATGAGGAATAATATAGGAACTGAGGAAGAATTCTAACATGACCAAGAAATGCTTACAGCAGGGGTTGTCAAACTGGCGGCCCTCCAGCTGTTGCGAAACTACAAGTCCCATCATGCCCCTGCCTTTGGGAGTCATGCTTGTAACTGTTAATCTTGCAATGCCTCATGGGACTTGTAGTCTGACAACAGCTGGAGGGCCACCGGTTTTACACCCGTGGCTTAGAGAACCCTAATGGGATCTCCTAGGAATGAAAAAGGAAAAAAAAAAAAAAAGATTCAGCAGGATAAAGCTCACCTGGAGGAATCTTACACACGGTCGCTGGATGCCATCCATACCGCTGATTACAGTTTGGACTCTGGACAAATATAGCACTATCGCTGAGGCACTCTGCAAACACTTCGCCCCCAATGTAATACAACCGAACGCCTCTTCCTGCATCAACACAACACAATTGTTTCATTTTAATTTAGGAGAAAGGAACATTTACTGCTAAGCTCTGCAAAACCTGTGCCATTGTGAACCTTGTATTAAAGGTTTACTTTTTTTTTTCTTTTAATTCATTTAATGTGACTCTGTAACCATAAAACATTTCCTTTTAAAGCTGAACTTTCGGAATTCAGCTCCTTTGCAAGAAGTGAAGGCATACTACGAGTTAAGTCCAACATGACCTTTCCTCTCTATATCTGACAGGTTTCTAGTACTCTAGGCCGGAAGACAGCCATCGCTGTATTTCCAGGAGCCTGACACCGATCCTTCTGATCTCTGCATTTTCAACAGTAGAGCCGCTGCAGCTGCTATGCCAGCCCCTGGCCAATCACAGAAGCCTTGGTGAACACATTCACAAAATACAACGGCTTCTGTGAACAGGTAGCAAAAGGGCAAGGGCGGGCATTGCTGCTCCGTGTGCTTCTCTCCTGTGAGGTTCCTGAGTGCAGAGCAATAAACCTGTCAGATGTAAATAGTGAGAAGTCCACATGTCATGCACCTCATTGGACTTAACTCCTAGTGTGTGTGTTTATTATTACTACAGTTATTTATAAAACGTCGTCAATTTACGCAGCACTTTACATATATATTGTACATTCACATCAGTCCCTAACCCTCAAGGGGCGTACAATCTAAGGTCCCTAACTCACATTCATACATACACATCCTAAGGATAATTCTGACAGGATCCAATTAACCTACCAGCATGTCTTTGTAGTGTGGGAGGAAACCAGAGTACAAGGAGGAAACCCACACAGGCAAACTCCAGGCAGGTGGTGCCGTGGTTGGGATTTGAACCAACAATCCTGGTACTGCCAAGCGGAAGTGCTAACCATTTAGCCACCGTGCTGCCCAGTGGACTTAACTCATAGTGTGCCTTCACTTATTACACAGTGGCTGAGTTCCTGGGAGTAAGCTGTAAACACATGCAGTAGTAACAAACGATCTTTACTCACGTTGGCCAACTTGTTCTTCATAACCTATTTTTTCCTATAACCAATGAATGGTTTCCATGGTTCTAAGACTTGCTGGAGAATCAAAGCCCTCTTTGCACCCTCCATCCTCCCATCGGTGCAGTAAATGCTCTCTGCTTCTCTTCTGTCCTCTGAGAGGGCACAGGACAGTGAGCAGGAAGAGTGCACACACTGCAGTGACATAGGAAAGGGGATGGGGACAGCAACTGGGACTGGCACAGAGAGATTCAAAACTTACAGGAAGTGTCAGAACCCTTAGAAATGTTGGCCATGGAATTTTTAGTTCTTTTAACCGCAGAAATACTGCTACAGGGCGGCAGCGGTGCGCAAAATCACACACATTATATATATATATATATATATATATATATATATATATATATATATATATATATATATATATGTAAAGCACTGAGCAAACTGTTGGCGCTATATAAATCCTCAAGAAAACAAAGGGGTGCGGCGCTGGAATATCTAATAACAAAGTACAAATGTACATTCGCACATAAATTGCACTAAACCCAAATGTGGATATAAAGTGACAAAAGTGCAAAAATATAAAGTTAAAAGGTGATATTGGTGAGCACTGATAATGTGCTGAGTGTTAATAACCATACATAGTCCTGAAAACAGTTGGTGAGCAGACAAACACACATGTGAAAGGGATCAGGAACAGCACTGCAGCAAGGAGCGTAGAGACACCTTAAAACAGGAAGTGTGTTACTGGCCGGATCACAAGTTGGAACGAAGGAAAGGAAGCCTAAAAGGAAGAGGAAAGCTGGTGCAGCCACGGTATATAGGGATTGCGGATACCTGTACAGAGCCCTTTCCGGAGTAAGGCCTAAGGTGCTGCAAACTGCCCAGGGGAAGGGGATTCTTATCGGTTTGTGACCAGACCAGGCTGATCCGGTTCTGGAGGAGATCTTCAGCAGACATCTTTGAGATATACATACATACATATGCGCATAAAGGTTGCGCATCTGGTGAGTGCGTATTCCTAACAATTTCACGGCACGTCATCAGGATGTTGTAAGGAGCACTAACCTGAGATCCCCTCAGATGGATCATGACTTCTAAGCACTTTACATGAACTGTTTTCAGGACTATGTATGGTTATTAACAATCAGCACATTATCAATGCTCACCAATATCACCTTTTAACTTTATGTTTTTGCACTTTTGTCACTTTATATCCACACATTTGGGTTTAGTGCAATTTATGTGCGAATATACATTTGTACTTTGTTTTCTTTTTTTGGTTTTTTGGTTTGCCTTTTTGGTGCTTTGGCTGCTTGTGATTGTTTTAGCGCTCACTTATTTTATTTCCATTTTATACGCTATATAAATCCTGTATAATAATAATAATAAATATATATATTTATACATATACACACACACACACGTGATTTTGCATCTCCGGGTAGGGGGCAAGTGTGAGCCACACAAGCACCCTAACCACACCGCCATTCACGTCCTTGGCTGTCAATCACCAAGTCCCAGCCGGTAATTACTCGCCAGCACCCAGTGCCTGCTGATATCTCCGACGGGGAGGGGGGTATGGGAACTGTTTTAAACAACAGTTCTCTCCTGTCAGCTCCTGCACACAGCCATGCAAACAGCTTCTCAAACACAGCACACTTAGTAAAACCAGCACACAGTTAACCCTTTGATCGCCTGTTAACCCCTTCCTGCCCAGTGCCATTAGTACAGTGTCAGTGCTTTTTATTTGCACGGATCACTGTATTGGTGTCACTGGGGATATCAGTGACACCAAGCCAGTTCCCCCCAGTGTCAGAATGCCCGCCACAGTCCCGCTATAAGTCACTGATTGCCACCACTACTAGTAAAAGTGTCCAGTATCTATACCGCCATTTGTAAACACTATAAACCAATTATCTTACACGTATTGGGATTTTTTTTTAGCAAAGACATAGAGAACACATTTTGTTCTAAATTCATAACGAAATCTGATTTACATTTTTTTTACTGGACATGTTTAATATCACAAAGTCAAAAATATTGTTTTTTTTCTCAAAATTGTCAGTCTTTTTTTTTTTTTATTCATAGCGCAGAAAATAAAAACCTCACAGGCGATCAAATACCACCAAAAGAAAGCTCTATTTGTGGGGAAAAAAAACAAATTTAATTTGGGTGCAGCGGTGCATGACCGCGCAATTGTCAGTTAAAGTAACAGTGCTGTAACGCAAAAAATGGCCTGGTCAGGAAGGGGGGTAAATCCTCTGGAGGGCAAGGGGTTAATCATTTTTACAAATTAAATAAGTGAGCACCACACATCATTTACTACAAGTGTTTAACCAATTGTCGACCAACTAGTAGTGTGTAGTGTGTGTGTGTGTGTGTGTGTGTGTGTGTGTGTGTGTGTGTATGTGTGTGTGTGTGTGTATGTGTGTGTGTGTGTGTGTGTGTGTGTGTGTGTGTGTGTGTGTGTGTGTGTGTGTGTGTGTGTGTGTGTGTGAGAAAAGGCATCACACACAGATTAGACATTCACATGTCAACAAAGTTACCATCATTTACACTTTAAAATAACATGGCGTCTGCAAAATTTGGGCACCCTGCAGAGTTAATATCTTGCACTGTCCCTTTGGCAAGTATCACAGCTTGTAAACGCTTTTTGTAGCCAGCCAAGAGTCTTTCAATTCTTGTTTGAGGTATCTTTATTCTTCCTTACAAAAGCTTCCAGTTCTTTGGGCTGGGCTGCTGTGCACTGAATCACGTATATACACGTGATTGTGCATTTCCGCCTCTTGATGTAAGGGGCGTGATTTCGTGCGTGTGCCTGCTTGGCTCTGCTGTGATCTGTTACAGAGCACATCCAAAATTTGCCAATCATCCATTTTTCCTTCCTCGTGAGATGTTCCCTGTGCCACCGCCAAGCACCCCAAAGCCGATCAACTCCTTGCTTAACAGTTGGACAGAGGTTCTTTTCATTAAATTCTGTGCCCCTTCTTCTCACGTGAACTTTGCTCTGCCCGTTTACATAAAAAGTTCAATTTTAACCTGTTCCACTTTGTTTCCTGCATCAGGCTTGATATGTTCATTTGCGTTCAAAGATGATTTTTGTGGTGAGGACGAAGAGGTTTTCGTTCATGAAGACCATATTTGGACTCACAGATCGGCACAACTCCAGTGTCTGCTTTCTGAGGGATTGTTCACAGCTAAAGCGACCCATTGGCGAGTGTGTGCGTGCCCCTATGGCAGGGTGCCCAAATTGCAAAACCACATTTTGAAAGTGTTATAAATAAAATCTAACATTTGTTGACATATCATCCCAGATGTTAATTTTTCCCTTCCTTGGCTTCTTTATGCACATTAATACAAAGTACAGGGTCAGTGCGATCCCCACTGTATTTTTTTATTAGCACACGATCACACACACACATACAGCAACAGTGTGGGATGTCAGTGGCAGTTAGTCAGATTTGCCCCCGGGTAGGGGGCGTGTTAGAATGCCCGCTGCAGTCCTGCTACAAGTCGCAGTGATCGCTGCCATTAGTAGTATAAAATTTATTTTGAAAAAACCAATTCCTGCCCGAAAAAAGTTATATACACATCGCCATTTGTAGACCCTATGGCGGAATTGCAAAACCCACGTTTATACCCCTTTGATCATCCCGAATGTTAACCCCTTCCAACCCACTGGAATTAGTACAGCGTCAGTGCTTTTTATTAGCACCGATCACTAAGACAGTGGGGATGCAGCAGTTAAGTTGCCCCCCCCCATTTTAGAATGCCCGCTGCCATTAGTAATTTATAAAATGTATTTTAAAAAAGATTGTATATACACATCGCCATTTGTTTTTTCTGGATGGAATTTTTTTTTTTTTTCAAAATTGTCGGCCTTTTTTTGCTTATAGCACAAAAAATAAAAAACAAAAAGGCGCTCAAATACCACTGAAAGAAATCTCCATTTGTGGGAAAAAAAGGAACATAAGTTTGATTTGGGTGCAGCATGTGTGCAAGTAGTTAAAAAAAGCAATGGCCTAAGCAGCCAGATTTTATTAGTCATTCACAAGTCCAACCTTGCAGCTGTATACAGGTGACGGATTACCTATGTGGCGTCTGGTCATTTCCACTGTGGCATTCCGATTCACGTTAGACAGTAAACCTAAGCAGAATCTCTCAGAATTTGATGGGTCCGTGAAGCCATCAACTGTGAGTGAAGGCTGTGATGCGTGGAAGGTTTCCCCCACTCGCTGGTTCAACTCGTAGTAAGCTATTGAACACCAGAAGGCTGGCTCAGAATAAGTAACAGGCTGCAAATCTGTGGAGGAGACACAATGAAGAAGTATTATGACATGGAAGAGGGGGAAACTACTTCAAGGACCACAAAAAAAGCATGAAACCATAAAAGTGTTGGTTGCAGAATACACTCTACACAGGGAATACAAGCCACTGTAACCTGGCAGTGGCACAAGCATCTCTGATATGTTAAAATGGGCCATTAAGTGCAACTAGAAAAAATAAAAACAAAAACACACACAACATGTAAGATACAATCTGTCCATTAACACAGCAGTTTGTGTTTTTTTTTTTTTATTCCCCTCTATAACAATTTTTGTCCCCGGTTGACGAACAGTATTCCTGTTTTTTCCACTTATCTGTCCAGAAAAACTGACTATTAGGGCTCATGTACGCGGGACGTTTGAAAAACTCTTCTGAACGATGGAAACTGACTGCTGGAAAATGTAGGTTAAAAACCGCCCGTTTAGCCGCGTTTGCATACTGCATTGATGTGCGTTTGCGTTTAGAAGTGTTTTTAAAACAACCTCAGGAGACCTTCCAAAATGCCTAGAATGCACGGAAAAATAGTAAAAAGTTAACTATTTCACACATTTTGAGAGAAATAGAGAGAGCAGAAGCAGAGAGAGCAGTCTGTGTTGAGATGACCGGTCTTTTCTGGTTGTATTCACTATGGATCCCATCATGAGCATAATGCGGCACGTTCTACCATTTTTTTTCCTTCATGCGAAACCTGCAACTGACTGCGCTGGTGTACCGGGTCCATTTGAATACATGGAAAATGCTTTTCATGCATTTCTGATAAAAAAAGGCTCTGGACAGCATCTGGACATGGAACAGTTAAAAAATGCTTCTAAACGCAAACGCTTATAAACGCGGTTAACCGCGTTTATAAGTGGTTGAAACGCAGGTAAAATCTACTTCTGAACGTAAGTTTGGTACGTTCAAAAAAACGACTGTAAACGACAATGTGTACATGGACACACAGGAAAACATTAGGGAGAGTTCAGGGGCTGGGGAAAAAAACGCTGAACAGCTCCTGCACATCAATTTAGCAGCGGCAGTATACATGGAGCCCTTACAGGGGTTGGGACAAAACATCCATACACTGACAGGACTGATTACAGCGATCAGCTTTATGCACATGATATAAAGTGGCTGTAAAGCCCTTCCATATATCCAGTGAAGTGACTGGCCTCAGGTGATTGATTTATTTATTTCAGGTACTTATATATCGCCATCAATGTACACAGCACTTTACATATATATTGTACATTCACATCAGTCCCTAACCCTCAAGGGGTGTACAATCTAAGGTCCCTAACTCACATTCATACATACACATACTAGGGACAATTTAGACAGGAGAGCCAATTCATCTACCAGCATGTCTTTGGAGTGTGGGAGGAAACTGGCGCAAACCCACGCAGGCACAGGGAGAACATGCAAACTCCAGGCAGGTGGTGCAGTGATACACACAGATCCTATCATATAATTTGTACCCGTTTATCTGCAGCCATCTCTCCTCTACAAAACGTTAAAGCAGTGAAGCGCTGCCCTATACACGAGCAAAATACCTCAGAATATACATTCATGGAATGTGCTTCCTCTACAATTACACCATCAACGCAACATGAACAAATATAATGAATAAACAATTCATAAATTATAGTCTCTTAATGTGCAAACGTGCGATAATCCTTCATAGAGTGCAACGACCGATGCGCTATGTCCAGTCCTTTTCTATTTGCTATTACATGTGAGTGGAACACGATTTTAACTCTAATTTTTAATAAACGGTATTTCCCTATATGACCCCCCTTCTCTCTTTTATACACTCCTTTATGAGGAGCTTATTCTCCTGAATGGGAAACTAACCACAGAGGACAAGAATGAGGACCGGACAAACAGGAGGACTACAAATCCCTGATGAACCTATATTTACACAAGTGTGTTAGACTCTTGATCTTATAAGAGTTCAAGGGAATTGGTGAGTAAATGGGACCACCGGAGGGGAGCACTAAGGATTTGTTGCACTTTATGAAGAATTATTAACCTCCCAAGTGTAGCTCGGGGTAAAAATTTCAGTACCAAGAGCGGTAACCCCGAGCTACACTCGGGCTTACCATGCGGCGTTGCTCAGGGAGTCCCTGCAGCACTTACCTTGTCCTTCGCTCCCGCGATGTCCCCCCTGCAGCGTCCCCGGCCATCTCCTCCGGCTGATGCCGGCATCTGGCTTCCGTGTTCCGGTTCCTGTGACGTCGGGACGTACGGGCGCCGGAACCACCGGCGGCAAATTTGAAATTTTTTAAAAATTTCATTTTTGCTGTCATTGCTGTTTCAATGCATTTCCCATTTTGTCCCGAGTGCTTTGTCCGGCGTCCTGACTGCATTTTGAATATTCTTTCTGCCTGGAAACTTAGAAAAGTCCATGGCGTCCAAAAAGCGTCCCTTTATCTCAAAAGCGGTTTTAGACCGGCTAGAGAACAGCGATAGTAAATCAGAACCACTTGCAGAATTGAGTGATAATGATTCGTGGGGGAAATTCCTCATCAGACACTGAAAACGATTTTGCGACTTTGCTGAGCGATGTGCGAATTTGCGTCTGTATTTCAAATTTCAGTGTTTTTGGTTTGATTATATTATTTAATTTATTATTATTATATTATTTTTTATGATTATTTATTAAATTATAAATTATGATTTCGTGTTTCAAGTTTTACCATACCCGGGATGTTTACTAGACTCTTGTTCGGACAGATTTCAGTGAGTTATTCCTAAAAATTACAGCCTACAATAAAAAACTACATATTTCCATGCAAAAAAATGGTACCGCTTTCAGCACAAAAAAATCGGAAAGAATCATACCGCCGAGGAGGTTAACTACATCCCGACTGCCTTATAGCAGATATACTGCCACAGGGCAGCAGGGATGCGCAAAATATACGTGATTTTGTATTTCCAGGTAGGGGGCAAGCGGATCCGCACCGTCATTCGCAGCAGTCAATCACCGGGTCCCGGCTGGTGATTACCTGCCGGCACCCAGTGATTACCAAGGATCTCCAACAGGGAGGAGGACTGCTTTGTTTACTCAGTCCTTCTCCCTGTCGGCTCGGGCACACTGCTCTGGATGGCCATCCAGAGAAGTGTGCTTACAGTGAAGCACCAACACACCGCCCCCTAGTAAAACACTCCCAGCACACAGTTAAATCTTTGATCGCCCCTCAGTTTGTTAACCCTTTCCTGCCCAGTGCCATTAGTGTGTTAGTGCTTTTTTTTTTATAGCACTGATCACTGTATTGGTGTCACTGTGGATGTCAGTGACACCAAGTCAGTTCCCCCCCAGTGTCAGAATGCCCGTCGCAGTCCTGCTATAAGTCGCTGATAGCCGCCATTATTAGAAAAAAAACCCCAGTATCTATAGCGCCATTTGTAAATGCTATAACTTTCACATAAACCAATTAATGTACACGTATTGGGATTTTTTTTTCGCAAAGACATGGAGCAGAATTCATTTTGTTCTAAATTTATGACGAAATTAGATTTTTTTTTTTTAATTTTTTTTACTGCACGTTTAATAGTAAAAAAGTCAAAAATATTGTTTTCTTTTTTCTCAAAATTGTCGGCCTTTTTTTTTATCGCACAAAAAATAAAAACCGCAGAGGCAATCAAATAATACCAAAAGAAAGCTCAATTCGTTGGGAAAGAACCCCCCATAAATTTCATTTGGGTGCGACGTTACATGACCCGCGCAATTGTCAGTTAAAGTAATGCAGTGCCGTAACGCAAAAAGTGGCCTGGTCATGAAGGGGGGTAAATCCTCAGGTCAGGTGGTTAAGAGACTAGAATTTATGAATTTATTTACTCGTTGTATTTGTTCATATTATGTTGATGATGTAGTTGTAGAGGAAGCACATTCCATGAGTTCATATTCTGAGGTATTTAGCACGTATATAGGGCAGCACTTCACTGCTTTAACATTTTGCCTAGAAGTCAGCACCTTTGTAGAAGGAGCAGCTCCATTTTTTTTGTATGATTCAACACAGTTTTGTCACTTATTGGCAGTATCCGAGCATGGGTTATAAGTGATTACAATCTCTCCTCTACAGACATTCAAAGTGCTGAATTTGGAAAGCTTGTCAGAGTTCAGAAAAAGAGGGGCGGAGAGCTGAAGTTACACACTGCACAGCTCAGGGAGAAGAGCTCTGAGAGTGGATTGGAAGGAAGAGACATATCACACACACCCCAACCCACCTCCAACAGAGCTGAGGCCGTCAATCTGCTGGAGGTCCCTCCCGTCAACAATGTTGTCTTGGTGTCAGAAAAACTTGACAGAAGTGACTCATGCCGATAGCAGAGGAATGAGGCAGTAGGCAGAAATGACACTTAGTGCTCTGGAAGTATACACTATAAAGGGATATATGCTTTGTTCATATTTCATGTCTGAGGTTTACAACCATTTTAACCACTTGCCGCCCAAGCCTGTTCACCTACACGCAAAAAACATTTTTTTTTTGCTAGAAAACTGCTTAGAACTCCCAAACATCATATATTTTTTCAGCAGAGGCCCTACAGAATAAAATGGTGGGTGTTGCAATTTTTTTATGTCACACCATATTTGTGCAGCGGTTTTTCAAAAGCAATGAAAAAATACAATTTAATGAGTTTTCATGCGCAAAACAAAATCTAATACCCAATTGTAGAAGATAAAGATTAAGTTACACCGAATAAACAGATATCAAGCATGTCACACTTTAAAATTTTGCACGCCAGTGACACAGTGACAAATTACATACATTTTATTATCCATAAGCGACGCTTAAAAAGCCTTTACAGGTTATCACTTTAGATGTACACGGGAGGTCCGGTGCTCGAATTACTGCCCTCGATTGGGCGTTCACGGTGATACCTCACATGTGTGGTGTGATCGCCCTTTACATAAGTGTGAGGGACAGACGCCTTTGTTTACACTTTAATACTTTTATTGTTTTCGTATTGAATAGAAATATCCCCTGTAATAATAGGCAGTGATGGTGCTAGGATTGCTTTTACAAGAAAGCCAACCACAAGCTTAGAAGAAAAAAACAAAACAAAACACTACATCGGGATGATACTGGCATCTCGGTATAACCACTGCAACTCAAGGACGTAGAGGGATGCCTTTGGGCAGCAAGGGATTAATTCTTTTTTCCCCCAAAAAGGAAAGAAAAGAAGAGTGTTGCTGTAACAACTTAACCCACCTCCCGTCACGGCTGGACGGTGGCAGTGCAGGGTCGGGTGGCCGTTTATAAACAGCCTCCCTGCACCCTGCTTGTGCGCGCTCCCTGGGAGTGCGCAGCACCGCGATCCGGCGCCCGCTGTGTCTTCCGGACACAGTGGAACACCGATTGTCGTATGGGAACTCTGTGCGAGGTCCCGATCATGTGATCACCGACTGGCCAATCAGTGATCACATACAGAGTAGTAAGCAAGATGTCACTTCTGACATCATTGCTTACGTGTGAAATCAGAGGTCACATGGTACAGGGCTATTCACAACAGCCTTGTACCATGTGACAAGCTGTGACCAATCAAAGCTCACACAGTAGTTCTCAATGGCTGCAAGAATGCAGCCAGAGAGAAGGAGAAATTATTGCTTTTACAGCCTTTATGGGTGTAAAAGCAATAAGTGTAAAAAAAAAAAAAAAAATTCATCACCCCCCACAAGTAGTACAGTGTCACCATGGTGACACTGTACTGCTAGGGTGACAGTATGTAAAAAAAAAAGATAAATAAGAATATAAAAAAATTAAATAAAAATGTAAACAAAATGTTTAAAAATTATAATTTTTGGTTATAAACTAATTTTGGTTATTTTTTTTTTTTTTTCACTAAAAAGATAACGGAATACATTTTGGCCAAGATTTATGATGAAATATTATTTACAAAATTTTATAAGAAAAACACTTTTTTTCAAAATTTTTTTGGACTTTTTCATTTACATAGCAAAAAAAATAAAAATCCCAGTGGTGAATAAATACCACCAAAATAAAGCTTTATAAAAAAAATGCTAAAAAATTCATATGGGTACAGTGTTGCATGACCGCGCAATTGGCATTCAAAGTGTGATAGCGCTGAAAGCTGAAAATTGGCCTCGACAGGAAGAGGGTAAAGTGTCCGGACTGGAAGTGGTTAAAAAGCATTGGCTAGAATTGGGCTTTAATTTTCTATCGAAGACTACCCTGCTCACAATGTAGCAATGCTGCTTTGTTATTTCATTGCAGAGAACAAAAAAAAAAAAAAAAAAAAAAGTGTTGCCACCCTGTTATAGAAAATGGAAAAATAAAGGATCTACAGGCAGGATCAACTGATGTCACATGGAGGGGGCACTGAAATACACAAAATGCTGTTACTATTAACAGACTGTATGATACAAGTTTTAAATTTTTTGCCCCCCCCCCATAATTATGCTGTAACCTTGCCCTGGTGCAGCCGCTATTACCATACTATAAAAAGCAGGGTAAAAAAAAAAAAAAAAAAAAAAAAAGTGTACAAATTTGTTAAATATTTCAAATAAAAGCGATTCAAATTATTTAATCTCCCATAAGTTTTTAAAATATGACTAATGCAGGCCATAGACTGTTTATCGGCCGAATTTTTGTCTGAAAGAATAAACAGCTGATATTCGCACCGTTAGTGGGGCAATGTCGTCGGCCGATTTTCGCGATTCCTCCTTGTTTCTTTTATCGGTCATGCTGCAAAATTTACGAAAAACGGCTGATTTTCGTAAGCATTAGTGGCAACAGAACGATCTATTTTTAGTTATTCGGCCGATAAACGAACCGTCTATGGCCTGCATAAGGGCCAGCTACTGGACCAGAATTTCAAACTGGATAACAACCATGCGGGTCACAAGATTTGATGTAATGCAGGAATAATTATGGAAGACATGGAATGCATTACTTACCCAAGCTGTGATTGACAGGAGAAAGTGTACTAAGCTCGGCTGGTGACCCTGTATGGACAATACAAATACCAACATCGTCATCTAGAACATATCTGATCACAGCACAAGCACACATTTTACAAGATTCCAGCTTAACCCCTTCCCGCCGGCGTCTCCCGGCCCTTTAAGAGTTTCAGACACCGGGAGGCAGGGCGGGTGGGGTGTGGTTTAGGGATCATGTGACCACCGTGACGAGTCGTCACGGCAGTCACATGATCGGGAGGGATCCCGATCGAAAGAGCGGACTGGGACCTTTCTGTGAGTACCGCACGTGTGCTGGGAGCGCACAGGGCACGCGCTCTCAGCACATATGTTTTTTGTTACATGAACGCAAATGTGCTGCTGCTCGGTGTCTAGGCCCAGGCGCCGGGAGGCCGCACATTTGTGTGCAGCCGGCGTGAAGGGGTTATAGAGCCAGTTCCCCCAAAAAAACGTCCTATGCAGTTAAGGGACGTCTGAACTTAAAAACAAACTGTGAAGCTTTGACCAAAACAGAATAATTGCCTTGCTATAGGTGTAGATCATTTATGTACCACGTGGATCCTGACTGGAAAACTCCCAGAGATGTTGCTGAGAGAGACCTAGCTGTTTCTGTTCACCTTCAGAGGCACAAGCTCTTTCTCGGATTCAAACCTCCTCCCGTTCTCTTTTTCTCCCCCAATGCAGTAGTTTTGAGCTGGGAATTTTGGACCTATGCACACAAGGCGTTTGCTCAGCTACTTCTAAACGCCTTTCCTCCTGGCAGCAGCGTGTTGGCAAAAAAAAATGCTTGATGCATGTAAACGAGCGCAAATGCGTAAAGATGTGTTTACGCATTTCAAACGCTTGAGTGTTAATTCATTCAATTGGCCAGAATAATAATTTATTCTACCTATATAATTTAATTGGGGCAGCACAGTGGCTTAGTGGTTAGCACTTCTGCCTTGCAGTAATTGGGTCATGAGTTCGATTCCCAACCATGGCGCCTCCTGCATGGAGTTTGCATGTTCTCCCTGTGTTCGCGTGGGTTTCCTCCGGGTACTCCGGCTTCCTCCCACACTCCAAAGACATGCTGGTAGGTTAATTGGCTTCTGTCTAAATTGTCCTAGTTTCATCCCTGGCCATGCGGGATCTCCCGCATGGTAGGGGTTGGGGAAAGACCTGGCAACCTACCCTGTAAAAATAATTCATGGAAGAGAATTCATGGAAAAGTTGCTTACAAGCGACAGTCCATGCAATCGCCAAGGGTTGGATATGACTGGATAGATAGATATAGATATAAGTGAATTAATGATCAAGCGCTAAATGCGCCAAAATGCTGCTGCTCCTGGATGTGTTGGCAATGGGGTTTTTTTTTTTCTGCCTTTAAACGCCTATGTGTGAATTGAGGCTAGCATGGAGGGGTGTTTAGAAACAGAAAAATAAAGGCAGACGCCCCTAAAAGCAGTGTTTTTACATGCTCAGTGTGCATAAGGCACATATTAAATTATAGATATATAATTTAACATCTTGTACCTGTATCCATGCTTTGGTTAAGTTGCTGATCGCTAGTCTCTCCATCTTCACTAATGTACCCAGGAGGTGGAGTTTCTACAAAGAGAATAAAAAAAAAAAAAAAAAAAAAAATTCATTAGTACACAATATACAATGTATCCTGAACAGAAGTCATTTGCACATTCTGTTTGATACTTTTTCACGCATTAAAATATAATCACCTGAAGTCTAATGGGTGCTTGCCTGTCAACTGCCTCACCTCACATGAAGGGTCCGGGGAGACCACATATAGTGAACGCGGGGTCCGGGAGACCACATATAGTGAACGCGGGGTCCGGGGAGACCACATATAGTGAACGCGGGGTCCGGGGAGACCACATATAGTGAACGCGGGGTCCGGGGAGACCACATATAGTGAACGCGGGGTCCGGGGAGACCACATATAGTGAACGCGGGGTCCGGGGAGACCACATATAGTGAACGCGGGGTCCGGGGAGACCACATATAGTGAACGCGGGGTCCGGGGAGACCACATATAGTGAACGCGGGGTCCGGGGAGACCACATATAGTGAACGCGGGGTCCGGGGAGATCACATATAGTGAACGCGGGGTCCGGGGAGACCACATATAGTGAACGCGGGGTCCGGGGAGACCACATATAGTGAACGCGGGGTCCGGGGAGATCACATATAGTGAACGCGGGGTCCGGGGAGATCACATATAGTGAACGCGGGGTCCGGGGAGATCACATATAGTGAACGCGGGGTCCGGGGAGATCACATATAGTGAACGCGGGGTCCGGGGAGATCACATATAGTGAACGCGGGGTCCGGGGAGATCACATATAGTGAACGCGGGGTCCGGGGAGATCACATATAGTGAACGCGGGGTCCGGGGAGATCACATATAGTGAACGCGGGGTCCGGGGAGATCACATATAGTGAACGCGGGGTCCGGGGAGATCACATATAGTGAACGCGGGGTCCGGGGAGATCACATATAGTGAACGCGGGGTCCGGGGAGATCACATATAGTGAACGCGCGGGGTCCGGGGAGATCACATATAGTGAACGCGGGGTCCGGGGAGATCACATATAGTGAACGCGGGGTCCGGGGAGATCACATATAGTGAATGCGGGGGGTCCGGGGAGATCACATATAGTGAACGCGGGGTCCGGGGAGATCACATATAGTGAATGCGGGGTCCGGGGAGATCACATATAGTGAATGCGGGTCCGGGGAGATCACATATAGTGAATGCAGGGTCCGGGGAGTTCACACATATAGTGAATGCGGGGTCCGGGGAGATCACATATAGTGAATGCGGGGTCCGGGGAGATCACATATAGTGAATGCAGGGTCCTGGGTTTAGTAACACTTTAACAGAGTTCATTAAAAGATTATTTTTTAATTTTGGATGAATGTGCAGAAGGTGAGAACCTCGGTCGGGTTTTATTTCCGTCCGTGTTCACAGTGGGGAGATTTCTCTTCACTTTCTGTACTGTACATACAGTAAAAGAAACCTACCTATCCAAAGTGAGGGATAACCTGTGACAGAGGATTATCTTATTGTAGTCAAAAAAAGAATTTGACATTACCCAGCACTGTGAAAGCAAAGGGTTGCAGGTCGTGTTCTTACCTGGTATATAGTTGCTCTGAGGCTCGATGCCTGCTGGGAAATTAGTGTTTTCCGGAATGGAATGTGTGTAGTCATCGAGAGGGGGAAGTTCTGTTAAGATCTCCGTGTGGCGCGGCACTAATACAGGTGGTAAGACTACGAGAGAAAAGGTTTGGGTTTTTTTTTTTAGCTTGATTTACAACAAACAAGTGTTTTCAGACAAATGTTCTACTTGCTGTTCCACGCGTAGATGACCACTGAGCTTATGCAAGTTACAAATTATTAAAGTGTATGTAATGCCTAACAATGAACTGGTCTTATTGCCTTCCTTTTGGGACTGTAGGTACATATAGAATTGAAAGTGCTTTTATATCTGTTGGTTCTGCCAGAAATGAGACAAACAACCCTTGTGCTCCGCTGCACTGCTATCAGCATTGTTCCCAGCTATCTGAATACAGAACACCTCCCCCTATTAGTGAAGATAAGGAGCAGGGGAGGTGCTCTGTTTTCCAAACACAATTCTTGTCCTAGAGTGACAACGACTCCACCACAGTCACAGTACACTTAGTGTGTGGTCACTTTAGGACAGGAAGTGTGTTAGGAAAACACAACGCTTCCTTCAATCTTCATTAAGTTGCCCATAGATGGATCAAAAATTGACCAGCTCAGCAGGGACCAGGCAAATTTTGATCTATGTGTGGGCCCTGTGGCTGTACAGAAGTCGAGCTAACAATCGATTTCTGTACAACCGCCCTATCAGAAAATTTCCTCTTGATCAACACTGCAAACTATAGCCGACAGCGCTGATCAATGTAATCCGAAAGCGCTGATCAATGTATTCCAACGGTGGGGAAGACTTCCTGCTGTCAGAATACGAGGACACAATAGGTAGGATTCCTCCATCCACCTCAAAACATGTGGATGGAAGAATTGGGTCAGTTTTTTAGTTCAAAGCGATGGTTGAATGAAAAAAAGAAAAAAACAAAACAAAAACCTGCCCCATCTATTGACTGCTTTACACAGGCAGAAGGTGTTCTGTAGCCCACCGATATAGCTGGCTTTACTGGCAGGATCTCTAAGTGAAAACACGGGAAAAAACGAAAAGAAAACAAATTGAGTCATCACATCTAAGGACTGGCAAGCAGCAATATATTTTTGTTCTTGGTCCTATATACACTTTATTAAGATGTTTTAATTCACAGATTCATGGTTTGATTTTCTTGAAATAAAGTTACATTCGTGCTCACCTGCGTGGAAGGTTAAAGTGGAGCTCCAACTGTTTTTTAGTTTCCTTAAAAATGTTGCTTAATGTATGCCAGTAAGAGTTAGGATTTTTTTTTTGTTTTAAGTTTTACATACCTATTCTTTTTATTAGCCTGCACTTCCGTTTTACCTCGCCGCGGTGAGGTACGTCATATCCGGCAACCCCATTGATAACTGGGACCGATGAGTCGGCAATCCTAGGAATCTACAAGGTTCCTCAGCTTGTAGCATCACATTACTTCAAAACTGGAAATGACGCAATGCCAGGCAGAAATGAGCGCCATTTTTTAAATAGCAAATTCATTAATTTTGTTTATTGTCCTTTGATTGACAGGTTGCCATAACAACGGGGTGTGAACTTCTGCTGTCACCTCCATTGTTAAGGAAACCTGCGGTTACAAATAACTTGTATCATGCTCTGTCCATACAGGAGATCGAGAGGTGCATGCTGGGATAGCCAGCAGCACCAAATCTAGGAAGTACAATTAGTGGGCATCAGATGCCCACATCCATCATGGAACCTGCCTGCTTCCGAGATCAATGTAAGATTATTTATATTATTCTACAAACGAGTATGATTTCATCAGACAGGAGGATCGCATGTAACTGCTGCTTGTTACAATTACGGGGGAGAAATTTGTAAAGAATTTTAGACATTATTACACCTACACACACACATTCCCACACCTACCCCCCCCCCCCCCCCCCCCTACCCCTACACCCCCCCCCCCTACGCCTACACATACCCCCCTACGCCTACACCAGTGTTTCTCAACTCCAGTCCTCATGGACCCCCAACAGGTCATGTTTTCAGGATTTCCATTATTTTGCACAGGTGATTTGATCAGTTTCACTGCCTTAGTAATTACCACAGCTGTTTCATCTGAGGGAAATCCTGAAAACATGACCTGTTGGGGGTCCATGAGGACCCCCCCAAAAACACTGGCCTACACACACCCCCCACCCCACACACTACACACCCACCCCTATGCCAAAAAAACCCCCCCCCACACACCAACCCACACACACACACCCCACCCCCCCCCCCCCCTAAACCCCCCCCCCACCCCCACACACCCCTACCACCACACCCCCACCCAAAACACACAACACCAACACACACCACCCAAACCACCCACACAAACACCCCACACACACACACACACACACACACACCCCCACCCCCAAAAAAACCCCCCACACATCCACCCCACATATTAACCCCCCCACACCCAAACCCCCCACACAACCCCTACACAAAAAACCCACATGCCTAAACACCCCCCTCCCCACACCTCACACACACCCCCACCCCCACCCACACCCACCCCCCCTACACACAACACACCCCCCAAACACCCCCCCACACACACCCCCACAAAAAAAACAACACACACCCCCACACACACACTTAAAAGTGGAACTACCCCCATAAGGGGAAGTTCTGTTTTAAGGCTTCACTCTCCCCCCCCCCCCCCCCCCCCCACCTCCTCTAACATATCTGGCAAGTCGTTTTTGTGGGTGAGGGGCTGGAATGGGTAACTACTTTTGACAAATACCCGCTTCTACATAGGCTGCCTGGGCAATCCAAGTGGGAAATTCTTCTCCCCCCCGCAGTGTTCACAGAAGACTGCGATTTTTTTTTTTTTTTTCTCAAAAACCACAGAGAAGCTTGCACATGTGCAGTGGGCAGCTGGCTGTGAAACCGCAAGCAGCATGGCTGAGCAGAATTAGGAGGTGGGTACCGGGAACCCAAAGGCTGGTGCAGAACTAGGCTGGGTGAGGACGGCGCTGGATCCCCGGACAGTTAAGTGTCCTTTTATTAAGTCTGCAGTTACAGGATTTGTTGCTGACTTTTTTATTCCCCCCCCCCCCCCAACTGAATAATCACTTTCAGTGTTTTTCAACCTTAGCAGCCAAATTGGAGTAACATCTACTTTATATTTCTGGCATGATCCCATTCACCTAGCAGAATTAGCTGAGGATTTAGATTTACCAAACCTAACCATGTCTGTACTGTGCTGGCAGATGTGATCAGTTGTAACTAGATGTGCACACCATCTGTGGCGAAAAGTCTTAAAGTTTGAATGGTACATTAACCACCTCCCTCCGGAGGACACAGCGGACACCGCAGCGCGGTACTGCTCGCTTCTAAGGGAGCGTGCACAAGCAGGGGGCGGAGAGGCCGATTAGAAACGGCCACTCGACCCTGCACTGCCACCGTCCGGCCTGTTATATACAGCGGCCGGATGGTGGCAGTGCAGGGTCGGGTGGCCGTTTCTAAGCGGCCTCCCCATACCCTGCTTGTGCGCGCTCCCTGGGAGCACGCAGCACCTTGATCCGGTGCCCGCTGTGTCCTCCAGACACAGTGGAACACCGATTGTTGGACGGGACCTCTGTACGAGGTCCCAATCATGTGATCACGGATTGGCCGATCAGTGATCACATGCAAAGTAGTAAACAAGATGTCACTTGTGACATCATTGCTTACTATGTGTGAAATCTGTGAATGATCACAGAGGTCACATGGTACAGGGCTATTCACAACAGCCTTGTACCATGTGACAAGCTGTGACCAATCACAGCTCACTCAGTACTTCTCAATGGCTGCAAGAATGCAGCTAGAGAGGAGAAATTATTGCTTTTACAGCCCTTATGGGTGTAAAAGCAATCAGTGGAAGAAAAAAAAAAAAATCTTCATCACCCCCCACAAGTAGTACAGTGTCACCCTGGTGACACTGTACTGCTAGGGTGACAGTATGTAAAAAAAAAAAAAAAAAAAAAAAAATTAAAAAATGTAAAAGAAAAATGTTTAAAAATTATAATTTTTGGTTATAAAACTAATTTGGGTTATTTCCTTTTTAATTAAATATAACAGAATAAATTTTGGCCAAGATTTATGATGAAATACTATTTATTTGCAAAATTTTATAAGAAAAACACTTTTTCAACTTTTTGGGGCTTTTTAATTTACATAGCAAAAAAAAAATAAAAATCCCAGTGGTGAATAAATAAATACCACCAAAATAAAGCTTTATCTGTATCAAAAAAATGCTAAAAAATTCATATGGGTACAGTGTTGCATGACCGCGCAATTGTCATTCAAAGTGTGATAGCGCTGAAAGCTGGCCTGGACTGGAAGGGGGTAAAAGTGTCCGGATTTAAAGTGGTTAATGCAATTTAAAAAAAAAAAAAAAAAAAAAAAAAAAAAAAAAAATTTGCCCTCCTACAGTAACACACCACTCAGCGCTTGCAGCCATTGGCTGCCAGCACTGTTTAGATGCCGATCAGATGCTGGTTTGGCAGGCTTTTGACGGACAGGCTTCCCTACACACTGGCCAAACATCAGCCTGTTGAACCGTGTGTACGAGGCTTTAAACCAAAAAAGATTGGACAGGCAGGGAAATTTTATGAATACGACGACACACACTACAAGAGTGAAAACGATTTCCAGTCTACCCCTCAGTCAGCTTACTTTTGTGCGTAGTTAAATCTAATAAATGTGTCTATTAGATTTAGATAGATAAATGTGTGGTGTGCTTTGCGTGTCACTGTACAATAGATTTGATAAGTGTTCTCAAAACGGTGAACAGTTCCCATCAGAATAACAACTACATGCTAAAAGATTCTACGATTTCACCGCATTGTACTACAACAACCACACTGAAAGCAATCATAGCTCTTTGACCAAAACAACTGCCAGTGTGATTGTAATATATCCAATTGAGAAAACGGTCAAATATATTGGGGGGACTTTACCAAAACTGGACAAATTGTGCATGGCAACCAATCAGCATCTATTTTCAGCTTGCTCAGTTAAAGTGCAAGTCCACACTTTCATTAAAAAAAAAAAAAAAAAAAAGTGAACACCCTCACCACCTCACCTTCCTTCCCCAAACCTACCCCGGTGGGCAATCAGCTGTCAGAGCTCACTCAGCCGGGACGGCAGTCTGTCTTTACTTAAGGTTGGCCATATATTATACAATTTTCTTGAGATTTTTGGTTTAGATTTACCAAAAAACCAATTAGGCAGGCTCTTGCACTACACAGTTGAAGGTAAATCTAAAGGAAATTGGGCAGAAAATTGTATAGTGTACAACCAGCCTAAGGCTTCCAGGACAGACCAGAGCAATTTTTGACTGGTCAATTGTTGGCATGTGACCACTTTAACCAATTGGAATTGCTCTCCTAGATTGTAAGCTCGAAAGAGCAGGGCCCTCGATCCCCTCATGTTTTGCATTGTATTGGTATTGTATTGTTCTGTCTCATGTTCTGTCCCCCTTTGTAATGTACAGCGCTGAGCGAACTATTGGCGCTTTATAAATACTGTATTATAATAATAATAATAATATTCATCCCAGAAGGAAAGATGGGGAAGACAAGGGTGGTTTTCAAATCCTCAGACCACTGCACCGGCTGTGTGGGCTGGGTTGTGACAGCTAATCACCCATGGAGGGGTGGGGTGTTGGTTCCCCCATTTATTTTTTGTGAAAAGGTGAACTTACACTTTTAACTTTAAAAATAAAAAAGACAAAAGGCTGATTAGGTTGTCACGCACAGCAGCTCCAGATTCTGATAAATTCCCCTCATTGTGTGGCCTTGTTCAATGCAACATAAAAGCGAAGCAGGTCGTACTTTTAAGCTCCATTTAAATCTTAAGAAAATAAATGGAATACTGATGTGCATATGGAAAGCATCTGGCTTCATACACAAAAATGTCAGATACCAGTAGAGACTGCATTAGAACAAAGGACCACTATAGCAAAAATATTGTGTTGTGAAAACTGTATGAAAAAACGTCATGCAGATAATGCGATCATTAAATGAAAAGTGAACTTGTTCTCCATTTAAGGTAAAACAGAGTGATTTATATAGTATGTTTTATCTACAGTCATGTGAAGAAAAAAAGAAGGTACATCCAATTGAAATGGTTGACTCCTTTAGGTCAAAAGCGGTTTTAGACCGGCTAGAGAACAGCGATAGTAAATCAGAACCACTTGCAGAATTGAGTGATAATGATTCGTGGGGGAAATTCCTCATCAGACACTGAAAACGATTCTGCGACTTTGCTCAGTGATGTGTGAACTTGGCGCTATATTTCAAATTTTAGTGTTTTTGGTTTGATTATATTATTGAATTAAATTTATTATATTTTTGTTTATGATTATTTATTAAATTATAATTTATGATTTCGTGTTTCAAATTTAACATTCCCGGGATATTTACTAGACTCTTGACTATTATTCTGATGTTTCCCTTGTGCTGCTGCCTCCTGCATTGCTTGAAATCTCCCTTCTCCATTCCCCATCAAATTTGAAAGTTTTAAAAAATTGTATTTTTTTGTAAACGATTATTACATAGTAAAACATTCCTGTATCAAACCATTTCACATACATTTTGTCCCGAGTGCTTTGTCCGGCGCCCTGCCTGCATTTTAACTGTTCTTTCTGCCTGGAAACTGAGAAACATCCATGGCGTCCAAAAAGCGTCCCTTTAGGTCAAAAGCGGGTTTAGACCGGCTAGAGAACAGCGATAGTAAATCAGAACCACTTGCAGAATTGAGTGATAATGATTCATGGGGAAATTCCTCATCAGACACTGAAAACGATTCTGCGACTTTGCTCAGTGATGTGCGAACTTGGCGCTATATTTCAAATTTCAGTGTTTTTGGTTTGATTATATTATTGAATTAAATGTATTATTATATAATTAATTTTTATGATTATTTATTAAATTATAATTTATGGTTTTCGTGTTTCAAGTTGATAAATACCCGGGATGTTTACTAGACTCTTGTTCGGACAGATTTCAGTGAGTTATTCCTAAAAATTACAGGCCTACAATAAAAAAAAACTACATATTTCCATGCAAACAAATGTACCACTTTGAGCACAGAAATACTGACATAATCAGACCGCTAGGGAGGCTACAAATGCTTCTAAACACAAACACGCATAAACGCGGTATGCAAATGTGGCTAAACTGACTTTTTTTAACCTATTTTTCCAGTAGTTTCCATAGTTCAAAAGAGTTTTCCAAATGCCCCGTGTACATGAGCCCTAAAGGGGCAATACCAGCTTCTATTCATTTATTTGTATATTCTATTTCTGTTAGGTTGAAAATGCAAATGTTCTGCATTTTTTAAAAAGGTATATTCCCTTTAATTACCTCTTTTCACGATTGTATTATCAGTTTTCTAAAACCATTTTAAAAAGCGGGAAGACTGACCCATACCATATTCAGGGACTATGTACTCCAGATTGTAAACTGATGCTGGCAGGATTTTCTCTCCAGTCATATCTTGTGATTTCTGTAATGCTATATGCATTTGTACCACCTGTATTACTCACCGCTGTTTGTATGATTCCTATTGTACAATGGATATGATATCACTATATATTTATATACAGGAGGCTGCAATCCACTTACCGGGAGTTTCCACTCTCTGATAGTGATAAGGGTTGACGCACACTTCATCTTTCTTAAGGTTAAAGGCGTAGTCACAATTTTTCAATCGCTTTCAGTTCGTGGTGACTGTGAAGGTCTGGCCAGCGCCAGAGGCGGCAGTAAATAACGTGCGGTAACCCTTTACGGTGGGACACTTGAAGGCGGCCATCGAGAGACCTGGACAGCAGAAGGGTGGATAATTAAGAAGAAAAAAAAAATAAAATAAAAAGGTTTGTCCTGTGTCTTGAGATAACAGAAAACACTGAAGCAAAAGATAGAAGGAACATAGAAAAGTACAGAAAAGACCACTCTGTCCTTAACACTCACACAGTAGCAGAGGTTATGGTTGAAGAGGATCCCCGCATAAATGGACATTTCACCGAAGCCACCTGGCAGGGGATTGTCCCGCTTTCTGTCGGTTTGAACCATTGTAAACCCAGGTCAAGGACCCCGCTACCTAAAGTTGAACGCACGCTACATCTGTATTCTATGCAAAATTATTATTTCCTACAACTATTTGTCCCTTCTGGTATTGCAACTAGGCTTTTTGAGATTTCATAAACGAAGACAAAAACCTAAAAACCTTTAATTCTATAGCTCCAGAATTGCGTACATTCACAAACTGAATGTGAAAAAAAAAAAAGGTTCCACTGGACCTAAAAAGAAGGCAATGACTGCACGCTAAAAGGGGGGAAAATCATCAGTTTGGATTTTAAAAATTAAGGGCCAGACCAGAGCAGGACATGACCATCGCTGATGAGGTGCACATCTGAACCCTTCATTCAGCTGACACATGGGTGGGTGGCAGACTGGATTGGTTGACCCAGGGTATGCATCCCGGTATCAGTACTGAATGCTATCATATTAGGTCAATTAGTTCACCCACATGGTAGGAGGATGTTAACTTATGAAGTTACCAGGTTTGTGAACATTTGTTTGCCTCATGTTATGCCAGTCAGGAAATAATGCCTTCATCTGGTCTCATCAGCTGGTCACTGTAGACCAGCTTTTTTCCACCAGGGTTCCTCCAGAAGGTGCTAGGGATTCCCTGAGCAATCTCTGCCTCTCAATAAAAAGGGAGCAGTCTTACCACCAGCGTAGAGGGGTCCTTCTCCCACTGACCACCAGTAGAAGGTGGTCCCAGTGATAACCAATGTAAAAATGTCCTTCTCCAAAGACTATGAATACACATGGGGCACCTCTCCACTGATCAGTAACGTAGAGATTTTATACTGACCACTAATGTAAGGGGCCCTACACTGACCACAAATATATGAGGGTATTCCTCTACTCCTCTACTAAGCACCAATGTGAGGAAACACAAACTTTCACTGTCTATCTTTCTCTTATGGCCATAATTATAGGAGAAGTAGATCCAAAGCTCTTTTGGCTATATTTCTATGGATCACAGGAGTGCACTTCGTTCTGCACTCCAGTGACCTATTTGCAGCTAACAGCAGGCTAAAGCCTGCTATCAGCCGACGCCACTCAGACAGTCCACACCCTGCAGAGATCCCAATTTTAATGTCAGGAATTGCCCAGAAGCCTGACCGACAGCTGGCTCAGCCTCCCAGCATGCCACTGAGAGCCTGAGCCAGCTGCTCCCACCCACTGCACAGCCCGACGCTCCATCGAGCGCTGGTGGACACAGCAGAGAACCGGTGGCTGAGTGTCAGCGGTCTTTGATAGCTCAGTTCTTGGTCTTCAAGGTGGCAGGGGACAGATGTAGCATCCACCTAAGATATCTCTCTCTCTCTCTCTCTCTCTCTCTCTCTCTCTCTCTCTCTATCCCCCCCTCTCTCTCTATATATATATATCCAGCTCTCTCTCTCTATAGCTCTTTCTCTCTCTCTATAGCTCTCTATAGCTCTCTCTCTCTCTCTAGCTCTATATTTATTTTATTTTTTTTATATTTATTTTTTTCCTTCCTCCCTGCCCAAACTTCTCTTTTAACCGTTTCATTTTAATTAATTAACATAAATTTTGTCATAAAAAGCTGCCCTGGTTTTTAATAAGCTATGTAACATTTATTATTCTTTTATTTTTTTTCTTATTTCTCAACTTAAGGGTCATGCTAATGTAATCATAATTATTATTATTAGCAGGGGTTTCTTAGACCTGAAAATTATTTCAAGGGTTCCTCTGTTGACATTGAGAAAGGCTGCTATAGACCAATGATGAGCTCTGCCATGTTCGGATCCTAGCCTGAATCAAATGAGTGAGCTCACCAGGAAGCGGTCACTGTACTGGGCCAATCATAAGCAGCAGAGGCATTTCTTGCTCCGCACTACATGTGAGCTTTTTGGCGGGGTCGCTCTGGTAGGTTTGGACTAGGATCTGAACACATTCAAGCTAATCACTACTGTAGACCAACGTAGAACTAACATCATCCAAATATAAATGGAGAGAGCCCTACCCCCTTCTTTAAGTGATGGGTAAGATGCACCGAGTTTGAGGGGGAACACCAAATATAAATGGAGAGAGCCCTACCCCCTTCTTAAGTGATGGGTAAGATGCACCGAGTTTGAGGGGGAAACAAATATAAATCAGATGCTTCCCACTTCTTAAGTGATTAAGAAAAAGATGCTTCCCACTGCTTTCAAAAATAAAAAAAACATTTTTGTGGAGAGCCTCTTTAACCTCATCACACAGTTCACACAACATACTTCATAGTAGGCCATTAGACCATAGGGGAAATAAAATAAAAAGTTAAAGGAATACTTTTTATGTACAGTAGAAGGTTGAGGTCATAGTAAGCATACAGAGAGGCTGCAGCAAACAGATGCTAGATTGTCATGCAAAAAACACAAAAGACCGCAGCAGCACTGAACAAAAAACAAAAGCAAAGCCATAACGCAAAAACACCCGGTGTTATCCCATGAAAGCCGCAACTGTACTGCGCAGCAGAACTTTCCCCACTTACGCAGGACTATATACCCCGTGTACCTAATTAATCTGCTCTACCCTGGCCACCTGCCTAGGCTCACCACGAGTTCAAACCCGCATTTTAGCATGGAAGCACACACAACACGATCAGCCAGAGGAAAAAATAAAAATAAATAGGCATTTCAAGAAAAGCACAGCAAAGAAGAAAAAAAAAACAAAAGCAACCTCAACACTGAAAGTTATTTTATGTGTGGGTTAAACAAAAATCCTTTGGAGACTTCCTTCCAAACACTACAAAACACAAGGACTGGCTGCATATGCACATACACAAATGCAGATGTAAATGGTTATGAAATGAGCAAAAGACAAAAAAAAAAAAAAAAAAAAAAACTAAAGAAAAAACTAAAAGGTAAAAAAAAAAAAAAAAAATCAACTTCTGAAACTGCTGGAGGTGTGGAAATTTGGAGTGTCAGTTTCTGTCCTCAATAAAAAGAACCGTGGAATGATGGATTGAATCAGAAGCTAAATTACTACTTTGGTGTCCGCTGATAATAAAAACTAAAAGTCACGTTTCCTTGTGGCCTGCACAAAGTGGAGGCAATGACCCCAAGACTGCAGTATGCCTCCGCCAGTGACAACACTGAAGCTGGAGGCTCAATCAAAGAACTCTGGGGTCAACACGGCCAGAATGACTGCCACAGAAGAAAGGGTTTCTTTCATATTTCATTGGTCAAAACATCAGCTAGAAAAAAAAAAATAAATAAAAAAAAAGGAAAACAAAGTAAATGAAAAAGTAACCATAACGTATACTTTTTGCTACAGGTCCAATTGTTTCAGATTAAGCATCCTGCAGTACACAGAAAGTTACTATATGTCCCGCCCCTCCACTCTCTAGAACCAATCACTCCCTCCCGTCCCCGAGCTCTATGCAATAGATTGGCAGAATATTCACCTGGTTTGTTCAGAGAAGCTGTATAGGGCTGTGGTATCCCACTGATCTATGGTATTTGGTGTACTCAGTCCCCAAATTTCAGAGCAAGTGCTGTGCATAAAATTAAAAAAAAAAGAAAAAAAAAAAAAAAAAAAAGTTGATGTGAACATGGAAGCATGGTTACTTGAAATACCATGAGGTCAAAACATGGAGAAATGTACAGATCACTTCCTTCACATATAAAGATACAATGAATGGCATCGTTAGAGTAAAGGAAGGGGGTTAAATGGAAAATAAGGTGACTTGGAAGCTATGACAAATGTTGAAAAAAGCTGAACACGGTGGAACAGACGGGTTTCATGGGTTATCACATTGTGGTTGTAGGTCACCTTCTCTGATTGAGAATATGAATTGACACATGACAAGTCACAGTACCGACACCCCCCCGGGCAGAGGACTGCGGGGGGCGCTGTGCTCACTTAGCACTCTATATAGTAATTAATACAAGATCAAGCAACTCATATGCAGGTGAAACTCAAAAAATTAGAATATGGTGCAAAAGTTCATTTATTTCAGTGCTGCAACTTAAAAGCTGAAACTAATATATGAGATAGACTCATTACATGCAAAGCAAGATAGTTCAAGCCGTGATTTGTCATCATTGTGATGATTGTGGCTTACAGCTCATGAAAACCCCAAATCCACAATCTCAGAAAATGAGAATATTGTGAAAAGGTGAATATTCTCGGCTCAAAGTGTCCCACTCTAATCAGATAATTAAGCCTAACACCTGCAAAGGGTTCCTGAGCCTTTAAATGGTCTCTCAGTCTGGTTCAGTAGGAATCACAATCATGGGAAAGACTGCTGACCTGACAGTTGTGCAGAAAACCATCACTGGACACCCTCCATAAGGAGGGAAAGCCTCAAAAGGTAATTGCAAAAGAAGTTGGATGTTCCCAAAGTGCTGTATCAAAGCACATTAATAGAAAGTTACATGGAAGGGAAAAGTGTGAAAGAAAAAGGTGCACAAGCAGCAGGGATGACCGCAGCCTGGAGAGGATTGTCAGGAAAAGGTCATTCAAAAGTGTTGGGGACTTTCACAAGGAGTGGACTGAGCTGGAGTCAGTACATCAAGAGCCACCACACACAGACGGATCCTGGACATGGGCTTCAAATGTCGTATTCCTCTTGTCAAGCCGCTCCTGAACAACAAACAACGTCAGAAGCGTCTTACCTGGGCTAAAGAAAAACAGACCTGGTCTGTTGCTCAGTGGTCCAAAGACCTCTTTTCTGATGAGAGCAACTTTTGCATCTCATTTTGGAAAAGGCCCAAGGACCCAGAGTATGGAGGAAGAATGGAGAGGCCCAAGGACCCCGAGTATGGAGGAAGAATGGAGGAGGCCCAAGGAGAGGCCCGAGTATGGAGGAAGAATGGAGAGGCCCAAGGACCCCGAGTATGGAGGAAGAATGGAGAGGCCCAAGGACCCCGAGTATGGAGGAAGAATGGGAGGAAGGACCCCGAGTATGGAGGAGAATGGAGAGGCCCAAGGACCCAGAGCATGGAGAGTATGGAGGAAGAATGGAGAGGCCCAAGGACCCCGAGTATGGAGGAAGAATGGAGAGGCACACACTGCAAGATGCTTGAAGTCCAGTGTGAAGTTTCCACAGTCTGTGTTGATTTGGGGAGCCATGTCATCTGCTGGTGTTGGTCCACTGTGCTTCATTAAGTCCAGGGTCAACGCAGCCGTCTACCAGGAGATTTGGAGCACTTCATGCTTTCTTCCGCAGACGAGCTTTATGGGGATGCTGACTTCATTTTCCAGCAGGACTTGGCACCTGCCCACACTGCCAAAAGCACCAAAACCTGGTTCAATGACCGTGGAATTACTGTGCTTGATTGGCCAGCAAACTCGCCTGACCTGAACCCCATAGAGAATCTATGGGGCATTGCCAAGAGAAAGATGAGAGACATGAGACCGAACAATGCAGAAGAGCTGAAGGCCGCTATTGAAGCATCCTGGTCTTCCATAACACCTCAGCAGTGCCACAGGCTGATAACTTCCATGCCACGCCGCATTGAGGCAGTAAATGCTGCAAAAGGGGCCCAAACCAAGTACTGAGTACATATGCATGCTTATGCTTTTCAGAGGTCCGATATTGTTCTATGTACAATCCGTGTTTTATTGATTGCATGTAATATTCTCATTTTCTGAGATTGTGGATTTGGGGTTTTCATGAGCTGTAAGCCATAATCACCACAATTTGACAAATCACGGCTTGAACTATCTTGCTTTGCATGTAATGAGTCTATCTCATATTAGTTTCACCTTTTACGTTACATTACTGAAATGAATGAACTTTTGCACAATATTCTAATTTTTTGAGTTTCACCTGTATATGGGACTGTGACCTGACCACTAAGAAGTCTTCAGATAGAAAAAAAAAAAAATCTAAAAACAAACCTGTAAACAATCTGCAAGGTTGAGAAACAAAATTCAGTTTATTCCATGTTCAGACTTATGCTCTACCAATGTAGTTTTTAAAAACTTTACAATTATATAAGCGGCAATGGAATTTATTCACTCTTAAAAAATCCAGTATAAAACAGTGTGAAATATAATTAAGGCCCGTTCATCTGTTTAGCAAATGTTATGTTGAGCATTAATGTGCACTGTTTTAAAGGAGAAGTACACCTTAATAAATAAAAAAAATAAATGCACCTTTTTTGCTGGTTTAAAAAAAAAAAAAAAAAAATTGCATTTACTTTTTTTTTTGTAGGAGCCTGGAAAGCACTGCATCCGCGAGCAGCAGGGGAGCAGCTTCAGGAGAGGGAATATCTTACATGTTCCACCACAAAAATGGGTGGAGAAAAAAAACATGTTCCCAAAGATGAACTTCTCCTTTAAGGCAGCCCATTCACTTGAATAACCCACCTAGCAATGGGCCACCAATTGCTCCTGTGGCAGGGCAGGGCGTTATCAAATGTCATCACAATGAATGGCACCGCAGAGAACCAGGGACCAGGCAGTGCGTTACCATGTGTTGTAATGTCATCACAATGAATGGCACCGCAGAGAACCAGGGACCAGGCAGTGCGTTACCATGTGTTGTAATGTCATCACAATGAATGGCACCGCAGAGAACCAGGGACCAGGCAGTGCGTTACCATGTGTTGTAATGTCATCACAATGAATGGCACCGCAGAGAACCAGGGACCAGGCAGTGCGTTACCATGTGTTGTAATGTCATCACAATGAATGGCACCGCAGAGAACCAGGGACCAGGCAGTGCGTTACCTGTGTTGTAATGTCATCACAATGAATGGCACCGCAGAGAACCAGGGACTCTTGTTACTTCAGCATCGTGGTGTGAATCGGCCTTGAATGTTAAAGAGGCTTCCAAGTTCTTTTTACACTCTTGGTAAAGGCAGTGGGTGCCTAAAAGTAACCAGCAGCCGTTCCCCTACACCAGTGGTGGGCAACTGTGGCCCTCCAGCTGTTGGTGAACTACAAGTCCCAGCATGCCTCCGCCTTTGGGAGTCATGCTTGTAACTGTCAGTTTTGCAATGCCTCATGGGACTTGTAGTTCACCAACAGCTGGAGGGCCACAGTTGCTCACCCCTGCTCTACACCAACAGAACCATTACTTAGCAGTGCGGTGGTGTTCTGCCCATCCTTGCAAATGGGGTAGGATGCTCAGAAGACACATTGGCCATCTAGAACCTTTGGAGGGCTACTTCACACTAGATGCAGTTCAATGCACTTTTTTTTCTGCAGCAAAAATGCATGCACAGTGTTTTCCATGTATTTCAATACCCCTAGTTCACACCAGTGCAGTCAGTTTCCATTGAAGAAGAAAAAAAAAAAAAAAGTAGAACTTGCTGCATTTTTTTCTGCACAGAACCGCACTGGAACATAGCAAACTGCATCAAAACATTGTGTGGTGTGAACTGGCCCTGACGCAGTATCTCGGCTCAGACCATGCATGTTCCTAACTGACGTGACACACACACCCTATATGCCTCAGGCATCATTCACCTTAAAGTGTTACTAAGCCCACAACCATAAAATCAGTCTGTATATGTAGTAAAGCATGATTGTTATACTAACTGAAACCTAAGCGGTTAAAAGGCTGTTTGATCCGGTCTTCTCTGATCCTCCCCTTCTACTGTTCCCAATCCATCTGCTGATAGTACAGAGCACTAGGAGGCACTCTGCACATGCTCAGTGCAGTATGTACCGCTAGTGATTTTTCTTTTCTTTTTTTTATCTTTGGGGGGGGGGGGGGTGCATGTGATTGGCACAGGGCCAATCAGCACTGTCCAGAGGGTCACGAGTTATGCAGCCTCATAGGACAGTCAGAGCAGAATGAAAACTCCAACAAAATTAACCAGTGCTCAGACGGACGCTGATCAAAATCACAAGACTGCTACTGCTGATGAGAAAAGGTATTTAAGCAGTTTATATTTACTAAAATAATTGCATTTCCATGTTCTGTGTACTGTGGGAGACCGGATAGAGTGAATGCAGGGTCCGGGGAGAGCGGATATAGTGAATGCGGGGTCCGGGGAGAGCGGATATAGTGAATGCGGGGTCCGGGGAGAGCGGATATAGTGAATGCGGGGTCCGGGGAGACCGGATATAGTGAATGCGGGGTCCGGGGAGAGCGGATATATTGAATGCGGGGTCCGGGGAGAGCGGATATAGTGAATGCAGGGTCCGGGGAGAGCGGATATAGTGAATGCGGGGTCCGGGGAGACCGGATATAGTGAATGCGGGGTCCGGTGAGAGCGGATATAGTGAATGACCGGATATAGTGGATATAGTGAATGCAGGGTCCGGGGAGACCGGATATAGTGAATGCAGGGTCCGGGGAGACCGGATATAGTGAATGCAGGGTCCAGGGAAACGGATATAGTGAATGCAAGGGTCCAGGGAAACCGGATATAGTGAATGCAGGGTCCGGGGTTTAGTAATACTTTAAGTATACAGCCATGTGAGTGGTGTATTTTGCCTGCACAGATGATCAGTGCATTCCCATGCAGACAGTCCCATTCATATCAACTAGGATGCAGTAGCTGCACGGACACAGCCGCTGCTCCAAATTTGACATTACTGTGGGTGCATGTCCCTGAACCCACACTGTCTGCATTTGGGGACATGCACCCACATAAATTACAAATTGAGAGTAGTGGCTGACAAAAATGGGACTGCCTGCATGCATGGGACACCTTTACATCCCATGCAGGCAAAACACTGCCCTCACACAAGTGTACTCTTTAGTATCATTTTAAGGCCCAAGTTACATGGGTGTACTTAAGGTTGCCATGTTGCACAGCGCGTGTCCATGCAGTCCAGCTGGGCCAGATTTCTGAAACTCCATGCAGGGAGCAAGATATCTTGAGGCTGGTCATCAAGGCAGCAGAGATCCTCATAGCCAGCTTGTCTTTTGAGCACAACCTTCCAAAAAAAAAAAAAAAACTAAAAAAGTATGGGTAGCATGCCCCCCCAATACTAAACAGGTATTAGGGTGGACAGCATATTAGATTGATTAACCCAGAGTTCATTTACAACAGCGTCATGGAAAACTCTTAACATAGCACTAGCATTAAAATAGTCACTTCCATTTTTTTATGCATCTAAACATACAGCAATAAAAATGTATAAAAAAAATATGCGATTCTAAAAATAACCATATCAAAGTACTAAATGTATAAAAGTGTCCATTGGCACAGTGAAATTATCCCAAATGTGGCTGCATTGGGTACCCAATGACCCCTTATGTAAAATAGGAAAGTAGCCAGCTGAATAGTGACAATGGTCATTTCTCCCTTTATTTTAGTGGTGCACCAAAAATTCAGGATGTACTTGACTGAAAACCGAAAGACAAAAACAAAACAGAAAAATAAACACAAAAAAATAAACACATAAAACAAACAAAAAAGAAAAAAGGGAAAGTGACCAACTTTATAAAAAAATAAAATGAACGTTTATATCTACTCAATTTCTCTCCACCGCTCACCTCAGCAGTCCTTTTAAGTGACTGGAGAAGGGTCCCGTGGGGAGAGGTCACGGTGGTCACCCAACAATAGCCAGGCTAATGAGGGCGCTGGAGCAGCATAATGGCCGCAGTGACAGAGCGGTGTCCGTGGAGGCTACCTACTACAGCATAGCACTGGCCGTAATACGTGTGAGGTAAGCAGGGGCGGACTGACCATTCGGAAACTCTAGCACTGCCCGAGGTCAGTAGGGGGCCCCATGAGATGCCCCTGGTACTTTTTTTTCATAGGCTTTTTTGAGTTTGGGCAAGGACACAGGGGCCCCATGATCCCCTATTGCCCGGGGGCCCCCATGAGTTGTCAGTCCGCCCCTGGAGGTAAGCTTATCTTTATGGCCTTTATCGGCAAAACCCTATTCTCAGCTGATGTTAGGCAGCCGACATATCTGGACATCATTACTTTATTTAAAACCTAGTAATAAAAGGTGGAACACAACTATTAAAAAAAAACTGTAAGCAGGCAACTCTACTGTTGAAGAGACATGCACTGTCTCTTCTGCAACAACAAACACATACCTGCCTGACTGCAGTTTTCTACAGCATGCACAACTCAGCGTACATTCCTGGCATGCTCTGGAAGAATGATTGACTCCACATGTGCACGATGACGTCATTTCACCACCAGCCAATCAAGAGGTCAGAAACCTGGCACTCAAAAAGTAGTGAGGGAGAAGAGGACAGAGGCCAATGAAGGATGAAACCGCCGCATTGATCGGTGTTGAAGGCGAGTTTAGTTCCGTTTAAACTGGCTGTAGCGCTGTGATCTTCCACAGCAGAAACCGCTCTGTCACCATATTACATACTAACACCACAGACTATCAGTGGATGATCACACAGCTACCCCAGTGAGTACAGACAATGCTCTTGTCGGTTGTTTTTGTAGCTGCACCACCTGGGATCTGACAGCTCTGAACTTGCAAATACTCAAAGCCAAGCACTTCCAGATTCATTGCTTATAGGAGAGATTGAGAAATGTAGGTTTCATCCTAATAGTCGGCATGAACATCCCAGGCTCCGAGAGGGTACGAGCGAGCCTGGGGCACCAGGGGACGTATACTGCAGTCTGAAGCCAGCTCTACAACAGTACAGGACATATTAGCTGGTGGGAGGAAAAAAAACAAACAAAAACTGGCCATGTGTTTGAGGTAATAGGTATTCAAGCCACCTGACTAGTCAAATACTTGCAGGTCAGGGGACAGAGAAACTGTGGCGTTTCAATTAGTGGTGCACCGAAATGAAAATTCTGGACTGAAACCAAAAATTCAGGATGCACTTGGCCAAAAACGAAAGGTTTAAAAAAAATAAATAAATATATATAGATAAAAAATATATATATAAATAAATATAGATAAATAAATATATATAAATAAATATATATAAATAAATATATATATAAATATATATACATAAACACACACACACACATATATAATATATATATATATATACACACATATATATATATATATATACACATATACATATACATATACATACACACATACACACACACATATACACACACACACACACACACACATATATATATTTATTTATTTTTTTATTTTTAAATATATATACAATTTATTTAATATAGAAAATTGTATTATATTTGGCTTTTTAACATCATGAATTTAAATGAATATGAATTTAAAAAATACAATCTGTTAACGTAAAATAACTTTTATTGAAAAGGAACACAAAAATTGGACAGAAAATAAAATCTATATCAAATTAAAAAATCAAATTATTTAAAGTGGAACTGCACTGCATCTGCGCATCACAAACCAAAAATGCTATTTAATTCATTGTTAATATTCAGTGCAAACTCCCCCCATCCATCCATGTCTCCATGCTTTATTTTGCGGAGAAATCACTTTGAAAAACAGCCCCCTGGCATTTCTGGCTGTGGCCATCTTGAGTAAGGGCAGATGATTCATGTAGCATTTACTTCCTAGAATCCATCTGCCCTATATCAGTCATTGGCTGAGCGAAGAACCCTCCCTCCCCTCCTGAAGACTCCTGGGATGTAGGACATCATTTGCCTAGGCATGGAAACCAGGAAGTAACTGAAAAAATGTAAAGAAAAAAAAAAAAAAAGAAAAGTTTAAAACCTATAAATATGATATACTTTCCTATCCATTTACTAATGCTAGCGGCATAAAAATAGTCCATGTTGATTGAGAGAGTGAAGTTCCACTTTAAATACAGGCGTTTTTGCATTGATGTCAATAGGGGGCATTTTTGCATTAAAGACAATGGGATACGATTTTGCATTGAAGTCAATTATTATCGGAAAAGTGTGGGTAACCCAATTTTCAGCCGACACATTTCGTCAGCTGATACATCTGTGCATTGTTAATTTCAAAACAGCCCCGTGTCTTAGGCACTTTTTGTTATGTCGAGTCTCACTGGCCCTAGTTCCTTTTTTTCCGGGAATACAGAATGATCAGTGTCTATGTTGTACAGACAGAAGTGGAAGTGTCTGGGTAGTTTAGCAAAATCCACTGGTCAGGGCTAACAACAGTCAGTCCATTAGCAAGCCTCGAACCCATTACAAAAATAGCTATACATTTCCTTGGATACTACACTAAAAACAGGAGCATTGCTCTATGGAGGGGACCATACAGTTGGCTTAAAGCTGAACTCCAGGTAAACCGCCTAATACACAAGATGAAATACGTATACGGAAATTGTATTCCCAACCATTAACTGCTTACTAAACCCCACAACAGTAAAATCCCTCTGTACATCCAGAAAAGTATGCTCGTTATACTCACTGGAATCTAAAGGGTTAATTCTCTGCATTGTGTAAAAAGGATGTTTGATCCTGACTTCTCTGATCCTCCCCTTCTTCCAGTGATAAGGAATATTATGTGGAGACACTGCATATGCCGTTTGGTGTGTATTGCTAAAGAGGTCAGAGGTTCTGTATCCTCCTATTGAAAACTCCTCCTACAAGCTGTAACCTGTGCTGCGCTGGACACTGATAGAAGTCACAAGACTGCTATATACTGCTGATGGCAAAAGGTATTTAGCAGTTTATAATTACTAAAATAATTGCATTTCCATGTTGTGTGTACTGTGGGAGACCAGATATAGTGAATGCAGGGTCCGGGGGAGAGCGGATGTAGTGAACGCAGGGTCCGGGGAGAGCGGATGTAGTGAACGCAGGGTCCGGGGAGAGCGGATGTAGTGAACGCAGGGTCCGGGCAGAGCGGATGTAGTGAACGCAGGGTCCGGGCAGAGCGGATGTAGTGAACGCAGGGTCCGGGCAGAGCGGATGTAGTGAACGCAGGGTCCGGGCAGAGCGGATGTAGTGAACGCAGGGTCCGGGCAGAGCGGATGTAGTGAACGCAGGGTCCGGGCAGAGCGGATGTAGTGAACGCAGGGTCCGGGCAGAGCGGATGTAGTGAACGCAGGGTCCGGGCAGAGCGGATGTAGTGAACGCAGGGTCCGGGCAGAGCGGATGTAGTGAACGCAGGGTCCGGGGAGAGCGGATGTAGTGAACGCAGGGTCCGGGGAGAGCGGATGTAGTGAACGCAGGGTCCGGGGAGAGCGGATGTAGTGAACGCAGGGTCCGGGGAGAGCGGATGTAGTGGACGCAGGGTCCGGGGAGAGCGGATGTAGTGAACGCAGGGTCCGGGGAGAGCGGATGTAGTGAACGCAGGGTCCGGGGGGGAGAGCGGATGTAGTGAACGCAGGGTCCGGGGAGAGCGGATATAGTGAACGCAGGGTCCGGGGAGAGCGGATGTAGTGAACGCAGGGTCCGGGGAGAGCGGATATAGTGAACGCAGGGTCCGGGGAGAGCGGATATAGTGAACGCAGGGTCCGGGGAGAGCGGATATAGTGAACGCAGGGTCCGGGGAGAGCGGATATAGTGAACGCAGGGTCCGGGGGAGAGCGGATATAGTGAACGCAGGGTCCGGGGAGAGCGGATATAGTGAACGCAGGGTCCGGGGAGAGCGGATATAGTGAACGCAGGGTCCGGGGAGAGCGGATATAGTGAACGCAGGGTCCGGGGAGAGCGGAT